CTGAGACTAAATTAAACGATGAATTTAAGTTCGTTCTAGTAAGCCCCAGAGTGGTCTCAGCAAGAAAAGTGCAGCATATCATTTTCTGGGACTGGGAAGGCAGTCCATATAAAGTTTCTGGAACGGGGGAAGAACTTGAAATCAGACCAATATTATGTTTCCATTTTACATAACCTGCAGGCCAGCCAGGCTGAGACTGGTTTGCCTTGGGGAAAGACGCAATACTGCAGCATGGCATTATTGACAATTGGCGTCTCCACACAAATCGGATGTCTCCATCCTGATACTACCATCGTACAGCCCGAGTCTTGCTTTTTAGTTTAGTTTAGTTTAGTTTAGTTTAGTTTTTTCTTTTTCAATAGCTAAAGAAGGCTTTAGAATGGAACCCCTATGACAGCGATGCTGATGTAGAGGCTCACGTTCTGTTGTGGTATAGACGAAACTGTTGGTTTCTTGCTCTGACAAGACACGCCCCAACTAGTCCGGAGTTGGCGGCACTGTGTTGATCGCAACGAAGAACATGTCGAAGAACAAAGTAATCTGCCTGTTGCGCGGATTCTAAGCTTTCTTACTTTTGGTGTATATTTGTGCAACAAGTCTTGAGAATAAGACAGTTATGACCAAACAGGCCTTCTTTTTCAGCCCACCTTCATATAACTTTTGTTAAATCCTGATTCATCTAGCCACATCATTTATGGGAGGAAATGAGAGATTTTCATGTTCCAAAGATTTAAAAAGTATTTAGATTATAGAAATATTGTATATAAAGTAGATCTAACTCTGATTCAGATGTTTAAAACGTAAGTCAATACACATAAGAAAATTTGCTTAAGTTCTTTTTTAAATGTTATTTGTTTTACAGACATGTACTTTGGTCACTTTTGTTTTCCTAAATGTTTGGCTACGTCGCTAGTCAACTTTGTTGTTTACTTTCGCCCACAATTTATGTACAAGCATCGGTGCTTAAGACTTGCTTTATTTAATAAAATTATGCTGCATTCTTTTGTCTGTTTTTTTAAAATGGTGTTTGTTCTTTTTTGTGCTTACACCCAGTAAATCAAGGGTTCCTTAAATAGGCTGCATGAACCCCTTGGGGGTGCTTGAGTCCATACCAGGTAGAGGGTTCGAGAGTTTAATATCAAAAGCAAATCGCATGAGATCGATTCCCGAGCGGGGGAAAGGGGGAGGGGGTTTATCGAGTTATTCGGTCTTTTTACTGGGATGTTGAACACCTCACAGTCTCAGCCCCGGTTGGCAGAGGCAGACAAGGCCGAAACACCGCCTCCTAAATGATCACCTAAATTGTGTTGATGGGAATTTAAAAACATCTACATTTTTCCCTACCCTTAATGACGAGTAGCTAAAGAGCTGTATGATTCTCCTCTTCTTAAAAAAAAAAAAACAGAAGAAAAATCAAATTACGGACATTTCTGAGAGGGTGGTTGGCGGGCGCTCTGGTGAGGTTTGATCTTGGAGTAACTATTATTACTCCAAGGGTTTGATCCTTCTTTCCTCCCAAACATCTATCGACCTTATATCTCCTCCTTCTCTTTTTTTATATGTAACACTAATAATACTTCTATTTTTCGGCGCCTATTTGATCTAGTTGTGTTGTAAATGCCAAAAACATCTAACTAAAACGAAAACTTAAACTAAAAAGGACATTTTTTGTTAAGGATAAGTAACAACAGCATACGGATCGTAAAATGTTTTCGAAAAAGCTGGGCTTGTAAGACCTGGTAAGAACATTTATTGCAAAAGTGTTTTTTTCCCACTACTAAGTTAAAAGTACACCATACTGTAGCCTGGATTCATCGGTGCGCAAAATCGAGCAGCCTACGCCATACAAAATAGTGATATTATGTGCCGACGTGTTAAGTTCATTACACTATCAAAATGCTATTCAAAGACGACAATGACTGTCTATGATTTTTCAATATTTCTTACAGTCATACATTACACGACACAAAAAGGGTGCAGCTGTTCTCTCTCTCTCTCTCTCTCTCTCTCTCTCTCTCTCTCTCTCTCTCTCTCTCTCTCTCTCTCTCTCTCTCTCTGTGTCTCTCTCTCTCTAACACACACACACAAACACACACACACACACACACACACACACACACACACACACACACACACACACACACACACACACACACACACACACACACACACACACACACACATACTCTCATTACATGATCAAGATAATTGAACCTTATTCTGTACTTAGCATATATATACAAACGTTTTATCTAATATCCAAACTGTACATGGAACATACACACATGCTATAGATCTAGATCTAGTAATGTAGATTTATAACCTGATTCTTAGAATTGCTTATAATGATATTGAGGCATCTCATTACTGTGATTATTGTGATCATATAAAACATCTTACTTGTGTATAGCACATACAAACGTCAATTTGGCATATAAACTGATCGTGATATCAGCGCATAAAACACATCTGAATTAATATTAAGGGTGAATATAGCACATAGTTATACTACATTTTTAATTATAAAATGTGCATAGCACATACTCACATCACATCACTGTGATATAATTATATTACATTTTTATATAATGTGCATAGCACATACTCACATCACATCACTGTGATATAATTATATTACATTTTTATATAATGTGTATAGCACATACTCACATCACATCACTGTGATATAATTATATTACATTTTTATATAATGTGCATAGCACATACTCACATCACATCACTGTGATATAATTATATTACATTTTTATATAATGTGCATAGCACATACTCACATCATATCACTGTGATATAATTATATTACATTTTTATATAATGTGCATAGCACATACTCACATCACATCACTGTGATATAATTATATTACATTTTTATATAATGTGCATAGCACATACTCACATCACATCACTGTGATATAATTATATTACATTTTTATATAATATCATATCACTGTGATTTAATTATATTACATTTTTATATAATGTGCATAGCACATACTCACATCACATCACTGTGATATAATTATATTACATTTTTATATAATGTGCATAGCACATACTCACATCACATCACTGTGATATAATTATATTACATTTTTATATAATATCATATCACTGTGATTTAATTATATTACATTTTTATATAATGTGCATAGCACATACTCACATCACATCACTGTGATATAATTATATTACATGTTTATATAATGTGCATAGCACATACTCACATCACATCACTGTGATATAATTATATTACATTTTTATATAATGTGCATAGCTCGTACTCACATCACATCACTGTGATATAATTATATTACATGTTTATATAATGTGCATAGCACATACTCACATCACATCACTGTGATATAATTATATTACATTTTTATATAATGTGCATAGCACATACTCACATCACATCACTGTGATATAATTATATTACATTTTTATATAATGTGCATAGCACATACTCACATCACATCACTGTGAGTGTGATACTATATGTTGGGTAACATTTATTTGTGCATAGCACCTACGAACGTCCATTATCGACATACACATTGAGTTGTATTTGTGCACAGCACATACTCACATCACATTACCATGATATAAAACAACCAGTCTGTGCATAGCACATACGAGTGTCAACAGGTACATAGAGTATCTACTGTGCATAGCACACACTCGCATCACATGTTCGTACAAATAAACATTCTTATCTGTGCACAGCACATAGTTGCATCACATGTTCATGATATAAACATTCTTATCTGTGCATAGCACATACGAATATCAATTACATGTATATTGAAACACATATTACTATGCTGAGTATTAACTGCGTATAGCTAAAAGATACTCGCATCTCATTACTGTTATGTAAAACATTCTTATTTGTGCATTGCACTTATTACTTGCATCACATGTTAGTGATATAAACTGTATCTGTGCATAGCACATGCGAAAATTAATTATTGATACTCTTAATATTTATGTTGAGTATTCACTGTACATAGATGACACATACTTGCATCACATTACCGTTATATGAAACATTCTTATCTGTGCATAACACATACAAACGTCCATTATCGACATACACATTGAGTTGTATTTGTGCATAGCACATACTCACATCACATTACCATGATATAAAACAACCAGTTTGTGCATAGCACATACGAATGTCAACAGATACATAGAGTATCAACTGTGCATGGCACATACTTGCATCTCATTACAGTGGTACAAAACATTCATAGCTGGGCAAAGCGCATCCTCGCATCACACGTTCCTACAAATAAACATTCTTATCTGTGCATAGCACATACGAATATCAATTACATGTATATTGAAACACATATTACTATGCTGAGTATTAACTGCGTATAGATAAAAGATACTCTCATCACATTACCGTTATGTAAAGCATTCTTATAATTTGTTCATTTCACTTATTACTTGCATCACATGTTAGTGATATAAACATTATCTGTGCATAGCACATACGAAAGTTAATTATTGATACACTTAATATGTTGAGTATTAAATGTACATAGATGGCACATACTTGCATCACATTACCCTGATATGAAACATTCTTATCTGGGCATAGCACATACAAACGTCCATTACATAATAAACAAAAACATTAGTGTGCATAGCACATACAAACAAAATATTACTGCTATATACATTTAACTTGCTAATTGAACATGTATGTAGTACATTAGAAAGATAAACTAATTCATAGACTTACATGGCATATAACATTCCATTTCTGAGATATAAAAATTTTATACACCGTAAATTCGTAATATTATGAAACATTTAACTGTACATAGAACACACACACACACACACACACACACACACACACACACACACACACACACACTCACATACAGAGAGACAGACAGACAGACAGACAGAGAAAGAGAGAGAGAGAGAGAGAGAGAGAGAGAGAGAGAGAGAGAGAGAGAGAGTACTTTAGGTTTATAAACTCATTCTTAGATGTGCTTAGCACATACACACATGACATCATCGTGACATAAAATACCTTTCTGTGCATAGCACATACGAACATCAGTAATTACTGACATAAATTGAGCCGTAACTGTGTACAGTGCATACAAACGCCATGTATTGACATCTGACTTGAGTTATAACTATGCAAAGCACACACTCGTATCAAATTATCGTGATACAAAACTGGTGTTCCAATAACACGAATAGTGACTTCAGCTTCGAAGCGTCGATAAACTTTCGTTGCCTCACTAATTGCACGGCACTACTTTCGAGCTGGGTCCACATTTCATCTACACCCTCTTCCTCCATATTGAACTGTAGGGACATCCTCTCCTTCGTGTCCCAGTGGGATTCCATGAATGCACCATGCCTGCAGTGCTGACTGTCGGCCTTTGTGGTCGGTGATAAGTCCCATTTTTCTTTCTCAACTTTGTATCTGTTTCTCTGCCGAGTCTTGACCTGTACTCTGGTTCAGTTTCATTTGGGGGCGATCGACAGAAAGTGGTTGCAACGTCCTGGGTCGACAGTACTGTCTTTCTTGCCATTTTTGAGGTTTCAGTTGCACAGAAACTTCACATGTGAGTTAAATACGCCGACCTGTGGTAGAATGGGTTTGGAAAATTATGAGTATAGAGCTAAAAGGAAAGACACCCCCCCCCCCCACCCCTTTCTTACTTAAAAAAAATAGTTTCAGTAAAGAGATCAAGGAGAAATAATAGAAAGTGAAAAACCATCGTAGGCTTCAGTCGTACTTAGATCTACATTTTTTCACGCCTTTCTATTTTTTACGACGATACCTTGCAAAGGATGGTCAGTCTATTTTAGGGCATACAGTAATGATCAATCAGGGAAGCCCCGCCACCCCAAAATATCGTGGTGCTAAGTAAAAGTGTGTGTGTGCCGAATTGCGACACCGGTCACTGTGGAATGGTGTCTCTCGCACTTGGCTCCCATAGCCAGCAGGAACAGAAAAAACAAACAACACAGCACATTAATGATTCTTTCCCTTTTCTTTGGATACGCTTGACTTATCTCTGTGTTTAGTCTGGGAAGGAGACTGTGTCACAATGTGTGTGTGTGTGTGTGTGTGTGTGTGTGTGTGTGTGTGTGTGTGTGTGTGTGTGTGTGTGTGTGTGTGTGTGTGAGAGAGAGAGAGAGAGAGAGAGAGAGAGAGAGAGAGAGAGAGAGAGAGAGAGCCTGTGTGTGTGGTGTTAGTGTTGTTGTCCATGATGGTGGCAATGAGAAGGGGAGTCAAGCAATAAAAACTTTCACTAGTTGTATAGGCTATGTGTTGGTTTTCATGGGCTATTTGTCTGGGGGGGGGGGGGGGGGGGGGTTCAACGCCTTACCATACACATAATGTCAGGATAATAACCATTCCAACATCAAGCACAATTGAAAACAATGCAATAAACACAAACAATATTTAGCTAACAACCAAATAAGAAGAGGGGGCCGCTTTCAACTAGATAGATAAGAAACCCTGTAAGTTCATGAAAACAACACACAAAAAAACAAAACAACACGAGGCGATAATGGATACCTGGTCTGACGGACGACTTGAACACAACCAGTTGTGAACTTTACACTGGATAGCTGCAGACAGGCCGCAGCATTTATACTCCGACACTATACGGTGTAACAGATTGTTTCGGTTTCGGCATACAGAAACCAGCTTCGCTCGCGTTAAAAAAACCCAATCAGTTTCTCCATCGATGGCCGGATCGCTTTTCCGAAGAATAATTTCCCGCAAGTCTTTCACGGAACAGTGGCGCGTGTATGTGTGGGGGGAGAGCTAGGTTGGTTTAACCGCTGTCGAAAACTGGCTAAACACGACCGTCTTTCTTTAGTTTGCGTGCCCTCTGAACTGCAAGGGGAATTCTGCACGATTTCGCAGCTAGGCTAGCCCAGTGTTTACGATACGCGCCTTGTAATCAAGAGATCCTGGATTTGTTCCACTCTTGATTCCCATGTTTTTTTAAATGTCGGACAGACGATAAAAAGCTGTAACGTCTCTTTATAAACAAAAGAGTGTTGAATGTGATGTAATCCCTGTTTGCTGTCAACTTTCTTGCAAAGCCTTAGCCCTCAGAGCACTCTATATTAAAACGCTGTATCTATTGAAAACTCTTTTCATGCTGTAAATAAGGTTTCAGACTTACAAATTTATGAAGGCATTAAAAAAATAAGTCAACAAAATATATGGGCGTTGCTTGCGAATCTCGAAAGTGAAAAGTGACATCAAATGTCACTTTATTTAAAAGTGTACTTAGATTGACCTTGATAATAAGGATAGCCAAATGACACAAAATCAAACAACTTATATGTGGGTGTACGCCGTAACCAAGAAGCTACCGAAACAAATTTAAAAAAAAATAATGTAGCGTCTAACACCCCCATAAACATGAAATAGATAATACGAGGCAGGCTTTGATCCTGTTTATCAGGACCAACCCCTTGTGAGAGTGACATAAGAGTCCCACGAGAAAGACCGATGTACTCGAAAAAAATGTTTTACCCACCTGGGAATCGAACTTAGGTAACCCACGTTTAGACACCTAATCGCTACACCACAGACGATGGTACCGAAACATTTAACCAAAAACAATTTTTCCTCAACCGAACCAGTCAATTTAGATCCCTTTGTAGCATTCTTGCCAGAATGGTTGTATTGTGTAATTACGTACATAGTTCTTTTAGTACATTGTTTCACCCTCTTAATAAAATAAGATAAGATACTACTTTATTATCCAAGAAGGAAATTTTTCTTGGCTGTACTGGACTGTAAACCACATGCAGGTATACATAAAAAAATTAATTATATATTAATATCATTAAAATTCAATATGGAAATAGAATTAAAGCTGACAAAATGTACATATCACACAAGATGCATCATTCAACCCCATGCAGGAATTTAATTATAAGACCTTTGGAGTTATATAGATACATAGTCTAAATAGCAATACACATCTATGCTGATTCTGACAATAGCCTAAAGCAAGATGGTAAAAAATAGATCTTGTAATTGTGAGCGTCGTACGACAGGAAACCATCCTAAGTGATCACTCACGAAAAACTCGTCAAGATCGTGACAATGAAGAGGAAAATACAAGTTCCGCGTCTGCTCCAGTTGTTTGTTAATGTTTCAGCCTTCCTACACACGACAATATTTAGATCGAGCTTAACACAGTTTAATGTGTACAGAATCCCTTTAAAAAACAATAATAAAATCCCCTCCTCCACGCCCGCCCCCCC